GCTTCTTCCTTCTTCCCTTCTTCTTCTCTCTCTTCACTTGAGTCTCCTTTGTGAAGAATGAGGGCTTTATTTATAGTTTTTCTGGAGTGGCATGTCTTGTAAATAGTTGTGAGATCATGGGCAAATAGGGAGTGGTTTGAATGGACGGCCGATATTGAACCCTTCGATCGTGCACCATTCGTTGGACATTTGGAGTCCTTAATGTTGTCAGAATTCGGCGATCTTGGGCTCATTGGATTTTTCTCATTGAGCCGCTTGATTCGATTATAAGCTCATTAAAATCGGAGGCCGTTTTGTAACTCAAATTACGGTTTGAACCTTCCAACAGTGCTTCGGGTTCTTAATTCGTACTCATTTGGGCTCATATTGGGTTGAACTTAGTGTCGTTGGGTTTGTATTTCCGAGACGCTCAGTTTGACTATAGGCTCACTAAAATTGGAGTTTGGGTGCTTCCGAATTTAATTTTTGATGTTTCCGAGTTGGGTTTTGCCTCAAGATTCGTGCCTGATCAAACTAATTTTGTGACGCCGTATCTCTAATATTTCAGGAAAATCATACTCTAGACTGTTCAAGACTTTAACTCATATTAGTTTAGAGTTCATTGTAATTGGAGTCTGTATTTTACACTTTTATTGAGTCTGAGAGAGTGTGATTATAATTTAGTAACCATACACACACACTGGGGAGTGTTAAAAACTTGTAAAATTTTAAACTAATCATAATGTACGATTTCAATTCGTTTGGGATAATTTTTTCAGTTATTTTCTCCAGGGAGCAATTAATGAAATCATGGACGGAGAAAAATTTCTAAGTATTGTTCGTACTGTATGAAGTTGGCTCCGTACAGATGACGTCCAGAGTATAAAAATGTTGCGAACATTTTTGTCCATATGAACAGGTAAATTTTTTGAATTGTTCATCAGGGATGATCTGGAGTTCATACAGACAACGTCTAGAGTACGAAATTGTAGGGAATATTTTCGTCCATACGAATAGGTAAATTTTTTGAATTGTTCGTCCAGGACAATCTGGCGTTTGTATAGACGAAGTTTAGAGTACAAAATTATGGGGATTTTTTCGTCCAAATGAATAGCAAATTTTTTTATAATTATTTGTGCTCTATAATATATATATCGTACTGTACAATAGGCTTGTACAAAAATAGTTCATATAGGATCATATGAGAAAATTTTAATATGTTTGTTCGGGATGATTGTCGATCGTACTGTAGGATCGTGGATGGTAAAAATTAAAATTTTTCAGTTTTCTAGATGATTTTTTATGTCTTTCATATAAAATGTCCTTAGGAACTAACTTAGTCGAGTCTTGTCTTTGTGCTTTCTTTGAGGGCAAGTGAAAGGGTGATTTGGGAAAGTGTTTGAGAGAGAATTCTTGCAAGTAAAGTGTGAAGGGTTCACAAGGTTACTCAAATGTAAAAATCTCTTTGGTTTTTGTGTCACTTCTCTTCTTTTCTTCTTTCTAGTTGCTCGAGAGAAAATCTTTAGAGAAGTTTCAATTCTCTGTCGACACTTGGAGAGTGTGAAAGGATGATGGTTCTTTATCGACTCTTGGAGAGTGTGAAAGGATGATCATTCTATGCCGATTCTTGGAGGGTATGAAAGGATGATGATTCTCTACCGACACTTGGAAGGTGTGAAAGGATGATGGACCATCTCTGCCGCATTAGGGATTAGTGGAAGTGAGAAAAATTATAAAGGCTTCTCTACCTTGATATGGGGGCAAAAGGAGATTCACTTTAGTCATAGTGATTAACCTAAAGAGGGAGTCTTCAGGGAGTGGACATAGGTCTAGTTGGACCGAATCATTATAAATCTTTGTATTATTTTTATTTTTTAGAATTTAATTTTTTAGTAATTTTATCTTTGTGGTTAAAAATTTTATTTTAAAAATAAATTCTATGATTTGAAAACTTTATCAAGAAGGTTTTAAAATATCAATTCACCCCCCCCCTTTTGGTTAGCCTTAGGACAATAACGTTAGGTCTAACAGCCTATACGGACTTTTCAAGTGGTTTCAAAGCTTTGTTTCAAAATTTAAAGTTTAGATTATTTTTTTGAAAATGATTATTGCTACATTTGGAAATCATAACATAGTTGAAGGGTATTCGATCACTAGACCCCCATTGTTTGAAAATATTCCTTTCGATTTTTAGAAAATATGAATGTCTACTTTTCTTCAATCGCTTGACTATCGCATATGGATACACTAGGCCAACAAGACTAGAAAATAGCATTAGAACTAAACATAATTTGTTAACTGAACTGTAGAAGAATATGAATTACCTCAGTTAAACATAAAATGTTTGAATAATTTCTTTTGTGCACTTAAATCTGAAGAAAATATACCAGTTTCTACCTGTAAAAGCGGAAAAATTTTGGGATAGACTTTGTATCACATATGAAGGGACTAATTAAGTGAAATAATCTAGAGTAAATATTTTGTTGCATGATTATGAACTATTTTGCATGAAATCAAATGAATTGATCACTGACATATACATACATTTCACTCAAATAGTCTCCTCCTTGCATGCTTTAGGTAAGGAATTAACAAATGTAGAGAAAGTAAATAAAATTCTTCATTGTTTACCTACTACTTATAATGCTAAAATAAGTATCATTATAAAGTCTAAAGATTTAAATATTTATTATATTAACAATCTTCATAGATCACTAATTGCTTACGAGTAAAGAGTGACTCAAAGACAGATTAATACAGGAGAGAAATGGAAGGAAAAGAATATAGTAGTGAAAGTAGATGACTCGGAGAGTGATTAGTCCCAGCTTGAGACTGAAGATGACATTGCCTTAATGACTAAGAAATTTAGAAGTTTTCTAAAGAGGAAGCAAAGGTGAGACCAGTAGTGGAATAAAGGTACGTTCCACAAAAATATTTAGGCTTATAATGATATTATTTAATATGAATGCAGGAAGCCATGACACGTCAAGTCAGAATGCTCAAATTTTAAAACCAATCATAACAAGGAGAAGGTCGAAGAGAAAATTTATGTGAGGAAGGACAAAAAGAGAGCGCAGAGAGTATTTTGGGTGGATTCAGCTTTGAACTTTTCAGAAATAGAGGTAGAAGAAGAAGTTACAAATTTGTGCTTGATGGTCGACAAGTTTGATCAATCATACCAAAAAGAGATATATGACTTAAGATATGATAGATATGATGAGTTACTTGAATTTTCTAAAAAAATTTCATACAACATATAGAAAACTTAAAAAGATGTATGCTAGATTGAATTTAGAATTCATTGAATTATAATAGGAGCATGAAATTCTTAGGAAAGATCATGTACTAATTGATAACAACTACATGAAATTGCTAGATGAATACGATGAATTGAATAAATAGCATGAATTATTAAAATCATCTCACACTGAACTTGAAAAAGATTTTAAAACTTTTATGGATGAATCTGATAATAAATATCACTATTTGAAAGTTGACAATGTTAGAAAGTGCAAACTCATTTTTTAAAGCACATTTAAATGCTTATGAAAAGAACACAATTCTACCTACACCTGAATAATTTTTTAATCCTAAAAAGAAATAAAAAATTATAAAACATAAGAAAAGATAAATTTATCTATATAAATTAAAAAATCATTTTCCTAGAGTTAGGTATTTTTCTTGTGGCATGATTAAGAACATATCCCACACTTGCAGTATTCATAAAAATCTTATCTAGTGTAGAGGCCAAAGATGCATAAAATAAATCATATTATACAAGCATCTAGATTAATTTTTCCAAGAGGAGAACCCAAACTTATTTGGATTCCCAAGACTAACATTTGATTATCTTGTAGAAACGCTCTCATACAAGACCTCATGAGAGCATTTGGTACTTGGATAGCGGATGTTCAAAGCATATGACTAAAGACACTACACAATTCATATCACTAGAAGCCAGGAATGGAGGCAAGGTTACACTGGGAGATAATACCACTAGGAATGTGGTAGGCATAGTATGATCGAAAACTTGAATAAATTTTTCATTGAAAATGTTCTACTTGTAGAAGGATTAAAGCATAATCTCTTGAGTATTACTCAGCTATGTGATAAGAGATATAGTGTTAATTTTTTTCTCATTAGTTGTATATTAAGCCAAAATGAAAATGATGTACTACATGGAACTGGGATAAATAATGTGTATATGCTAGATTTAAATTATATTAAATCTCTTAATGCTTTTTTGTTTGAAAATAATTTTTGATGAATCATGGTTATGACATAGGAGACTTTATCATGCTAGTATAAAAAACCTTAAAAAAATTACCCAAAAAAACTTGTTAGAGGTATACTAAAATTAGACTTTACTAAGGATCACCTGTGTGATCCATATCAACTAAGAAAACATGTGAAATCATTATTTCATTCCATTAAGGATCTTAGAATTAGCAAACCATTACAAATTATTCATATGGATCTTTTTTGACCGGTTAGCACTGCAAGTATAGGAGGGAAAGTATATGAATTTGTGATTGTGGATGATTTTTCTAGATTCAACTGGGTTAAGTTTTTATTTCATAAAAGTGAATCATTTGAGGAATTTATGAATTTTTTGACTTGGATTCAGAGAAAACTAGGTTGTAAAATCTTATCTATTCAGAGTGATCATGGAGGTGAATTCCAAAATGAAAACTTTGAAGAGTATTGTAAAGAGAAAGGAATTGATCATAATTTTTCAGCCCCTAACTACCTTTAAAATGATCTTTAATTTTTATCATCCCGGACAAACACATGTTCGTCTATACGATCGAGTGCTCAAAAAGCCTGCATGAAAGGATGCCTCGAAAATAATGTTTTACAAAAAAAAACATTTTATTTTTGGTAGCTTCTATTCGTACGTGCGAAAACATTTTCGTCCCATACGATTTTATAATTGTACATACAAAACAAGTTTTGTACAACATGATTTACTATTTTTCTCTATATATATATATATATATTCACACACACACATAATTGATTTCCATTTTTATTTGTTAATCTTGTAGGTGATAAGCGTTTCAGAAAGATTTCGTTTGTTTGGTACAATATCAACCTCAACACATGAATTTCGTCAAACAACTGAAGGTAGATATAAATAATGTTTAGTATGTTTCCTTTGTGAAAATTTTCATGTTAATTTTTTTAATGAAGTTTATGCATTCCAAATAACACATGCTTTTTCTTGGATTTCATTTGAATGAAAGATAAGATAGTTTATATAACGATGATATTGGTTTTTTTAATGTTTATGTGTTGAACATTTATTTGCACTATATGCAATTATTGTCAATTTGCATTTCATTTATTAGAGGTGCTTTTCAGCTGCATTATGTTGTATTAATAAACATCTTGGTTTAACAATATTTGATTGCATCATTGAGAAATTTTCTAGCATTTTCTTAAATTTTTTAAATGATGTATTAATGCAAATCCTTGGAAATAATAACTTATTAATTTATTTTTGTGTCTTGCTATAGGGGAAATTTACGAATCTTCTTAATTCAATGCATTGAGGGAATTTTGTGATATCTTTATAGAATATCTCAATCATCCTATTAAATTGCCTTCAAATAATAATACTCACAAGGATTAATTATTGTCGAATTTTGGTGATTTTGGACGGGTTTTGCTTTGTGTGGGTTATCATAGAAATTGAATTTGTTAGTGTTAAATTCAGAGAATTGGAGAGGGGAAAGGCTTAATTTTATTGCACAAACTTACCCCTATTTATAGATCTTTACAAGATATCATAATAAAGAAATAAATAATTATAGAATAATGTATAATTTCTCTAATATAATCCTTCATAAATCAACCATCTAAATATAGAAGGAGATCAGTGTGATCCAAGTGAGCTTCCCACCGATTCCCATTTTAGCCGTGGGATCAAAATGCCAAAGGACAGATAGGATTTAATAGGCGAGCCTCTTATGAATTCCCATCCTAGCCGTGAGATCAAAATGTCAAGCGACGGCTAGGATTTAAAACTCCCCCTCAAGCTGGGGAATACAGATCTGTCATTCCCAGCTTGGTAATCAGTCCCAGAAAGGTAGAGTTATCGAGTCCCTTGTTAAGAATATCTGCAAGCTGGTCTTTTGATGATACATGATCTATACATATAAGACCACTGTCTAAATTATCCTTTATGAAATGTCTGTCCACTTCTATGTGCTTGGTCCTATCATGTTGAATTAGATTGTGAGCTATGCTGATTGTTAATTTGTTATCACAGTATAGCTTCATGAGTCTTTCCCACTTGATCCTTAGGTCTTTTAGAATTATTTTGATCAACATTAGCTCACATATTCCACATATTCCTAAGGCCATAGCTCTGTATTCTTCTTTTGCACTAGATTTTGTCATCACATTTTGTTTCTTTCTTCTCCATGTAATAAGGTTTCCTCTGAGGAATGTGCAGTATCCTGAGGTAGATTGTCTATCTACTTGTGATCATGCATAATTTGCTTCAGTATATGCTTTTGGGGTTATTCCACATTCTCTTCTGAAGAGAATTCCTTTACCTAGGTTCCCCTTAAGATAGCGTAATATTTTGTCTACAACTTGCATGTGAGTCTGCTTTGGATTTTGCATGAACTGGCTAATCATGCTTACAACAAATGCTATATCCGGTATGGTGTGGGAAAGGAAATCACATTCCTCACAAGTCTCTAGTAGGCTCCTTTATCTATATTTGGATATTTTTTAGCTTCCCCCAAAAAAGAAATCCATGCTTCTGTATTTCAATACGTCCATGATGAAAGCTTTTGACGCATCATAAGCATGGACATACGAAGAAAAACCTGAAGTTTTTATTCATAAATTTTTTGTTATGCATAAATGATAGGCCATCCTTGATCATGCATTTGAAGGCAAAGGAAAAATAATTTAGAACCAAAATCGTGTGTTGTTCTTGTTTTGAAAGGTGAAAACCTTGTTCCATCTTGTTATAAAAGTATTGATCTGGATTTGATGCTATGAAGTTAATTATTTGTTCTCGTGCATGGCCTAATGGTTTAGGCATAACAAGGGATCGTGGTTTTCCTAGAGTAATAGTTAATTTTCTTTCAATGTCTTTGATAGTTTTTGTTTTTGTTTTGGTTATGCTGATACATATCTGGTATAAAGAGATCTTTTAGTGTTATGTGCAAAATGCTTAATACTTTGTATTTTATATTGAAGGAATGGAAAATTCTAGTGCTTAGTTCTTATCATGCTTTAAGCGAATAAATTTTTGCCTTTTATGAATCTTGTGTAATAAAGAATGTTAAATTTAAAAATTACAAATATGTATTCTTGCTTTTAAATCTTGTGGATCTTACTTTGTTAAATCACTTCATTTGTTTAGGAAGGCTTTCCCTTAGCGTCTTTTGGAGGAAAGTCATGGTTCGGGCTCCCAGTAGAGATGATATGATTGATATAATTAATGCAAGATATCCAATTTTAGACTTCTTATCCTCACAGCTTGTTGGTATGCTATTTTCTTTTCTATTGTTATGCTAATTACCGCATGCTTTACAAATAACGACACTCTTGAATGAGGCATTTGGCTTGGCTATCAGATACATTTGAGCGGGTCAACTCTGTTGTTTCTTATCAAATAGGAGTCATGTCAGCTTCTGCTTTCAATAGATTCTCTTTAAGGTATGCGTAAGCATTGGTTAATTACCTGCAACATATGATATTATATACTTATCTCGTCAACTTTGCTTGATATTGGCAGGGATCTTCTCAAATGGTGCAAGAGAATTGCAGCGTTGCCTCTTAACTTGTTTGCCTTTGGCTTATCATTATCAGATTCAGAAAATATTTATCAAGAGGTTACCACTCATTTTCTTTACAGGGGAAATTATAGCTAGTCCTGGCCATGAGGGTATTCACTATTCACTTTTTACTAAGATAATTTTCTATCTTTTGACCAGGCTGTTGATTTGTTTGCGGCTTTCTTGCCCATGTCTGAAAACCGTTCATTGTTGATCAGAGAAATTGCTAACTTATGGAGTGTTCCTCTTGAAGGGGCAATGTTGTACCCTTCAAACAAGCCAACCCTTCAGGTTGCTTTTATGATTTTTTTTTTCCGAAAACGGTGGCATATTTTGATTTGTTTCACCAAAGATTCTTAGTTTATGATTCTTCTTTTGTTGCAGATGCGGCTATCACGCCTTCAAGTTGGGCGAGTTGCACTCCAGCGTGTTAAAAGAATTGTGTGTTTAAGGATTATGCCATTTTGTTTTCTATGCACTTCACTGTTTTTCCATATTTGTAATTTTTCTGTTGTATCCAGGATATTCATGATAGGCAGCCTTTTGTTAGTATTCGTAGTGCTCTACAGTCACTTGAGCGAATAGCTTGTTCCGTTAAGTACAATGAACCGGTTCTTCTAGTAGGTGAAACTGGAACAGGAAAGACAACGCTTGTACAGAATCTGGCTATGATGCTTGGGTACCCTCTGATTGTTATGGTAAAGCACTTGAGTATTTGATGCTATCATTTTTCCAAAGTATTTATCTAAGTTTCTATACAATTTTGTCTGTCTTCTAATGTGATTTTTGCCTTGCTTTTTTTTGTGCAATGAAATCAGAGATAATTTATGACGTAGCATCGAAATCTTGACTAGTTACAAAATTAATCTCTTCTTGTCAAATTCCCTTCCAAATATAAAAAGTGAAATAAACAACCTGTATTTTTTTATTTCGTCAAATTGGTAATGATTTGATCACACTCAGAAATAGATTTGAATGCTATTTCATTTTTTAAATGGATGGAAGTTTTTAATATGTGGTAAATTTTAGTTGTATGTGTAACTATTAGAGGCAGGCCACGAAATGAGCATATAGGTGAAAAGGTTGGAGTAGCTCTAGTGGAAGATAAGATTAGTGAGTTGTCTTGGATGGTTTGGTCATATAAAATGGCGGCCTTTCGATGACCCGGTATGTATTCGAGTTGACTTATGTTTAGAATGATAGAGGTAGACCTAAAAATACTTAAGTTAGAAAATAGTAGAAATGACATTTCTTTATTAGATTTAAATGAGAATTTAACTCTTAATAGGATACAATGGAGAAAAATAATTCATTTAGTTGACCCCACGTAGTGGGATAAAGGTTGGATGTTGTTGTTGTTGTGTATAAGCCATCCATGAATTTTATGTTTTCCTTGAGCATTGCATTAATTACTGCATTGTTTTATTTTTTTTAACATGATATTGAGAGCAAATTTATTTTGGTAGGAAAGAGCATGTATTTGTCAAATTTCTTGCTTTTGTTACTTGAAACATTATATAAAATATTAAAATATGATGTGTATGTTGAATTAGTTTGATGAAAAAAATCCTGCTTTTTGACTGCTGCATTCTGTACTGCTGCCACGCTAGTCTCACATGAAATTAGATTCTATTCGGAGTCATTCCAATAAAGTAACTGAAGGCAATTATTTTACTTTGCTTTACTTGAGATTAATTTCAATTGAAGATTGGTACGATTGCATTGCTCTTTTTCCCGTGCAATGTTAATGCGCTTGAATGTCTCTCTTATTCTTCATTCTTGTACTATATTGCTTGACATACCACAGAACTTAAGCCAGCAAACTGATGTTGCTGATCTGCTGGGTGGCTATAAGCCTACTGATGCACAGTCAATATGCATGCCTCTTTATCATGAATTCAAGGAGTTGTTCTGCAAGACTTTTTCCAAGAAGGTACGCATTATTTATGTGCGCTTAATTTTACTTGAATGCAATTTTGAAGACTTCTGTGACAAGGTTTGTCTCTCTTTTGAATAGGATAATGAAGCTCTGCTTCGCCAGTTTGAGATATTCATATTAGAAAAGAACTGGAAAAAATTACTGCATGCTTGCCAGAAGTCGGTTCACTTTGTCCAGAAACTGTTGGCTAAAACAAGAGAATCTGGCTGTGGCTCGAAGAGAAAGAGGCCATTGATTGAAGAGACAGTTCAAAAGTGGGAGTCATTGTCTTTGGGGCTTGACGGTGCTCTTAAGAAGATTAGTGTCTCTTCAGCAATGTCTTTTAAATTTGTGGAGGGTGCTTTTGTAAGTGCTTTAAAAAGTGGGCAGTGGCTTTTGTTAGATGAAGTAAATCTTGCTCCGCCAGAAACACTGCAGCGAATTATTGGTGTCCTTGATGGAGATCTTGGTACTTTGTGTCTTGCAGAGAGGGGTGATGTAGATTATGTTGAACGTCATCCTGATTTTCGTTTATTTGCCTGCATGAATCCTGCCACTGATGCTGGAAAGAGGGATCTTCCATTTGCATTCAAGAGTCGGTTTACTGAATATTTTATTGATGATGTTTTTGATGATGATGATCTAATTCTATTTGTTAATCAATACCTGGGTGAAGGTAACGCCACAACTGAATTGTCAAACAGGATTGTTCGGTTTTACAAATCAGTGAAGAAGGAATCTGAGGAGAGGTTGCAGGATGGTGCTAATCAGAAGCCACAGTTCAGTTTACGGTCCCTAGCTCGAGCACTCAATTATACCAAGATGGCTGAAAAGAGATTTGGATTCAAAAAAGCCCTTTATGATGGCTTTTGCATGTTCTTTCTTACTCTTTTAGATGCCCCCAGTGCTGCCATTATGCACGACTTGATATTGTCGAACTTGTTATCAGGTGGCATGCCTCATGATATCCCTTTTAATAGTTATTTTTCTGGAGATTTGGCTCCTCTTTATGCTTCCCAGATAAAGTCTTTCGTGGAAAATTATGTTCTTACAAATACTGTTAAAGTGCATCTTAAAAACCTTGCCCGTGCCTTCTACATTAAGAGGTATCCTGTTCTTCTGCAGGGACCCACATCCAGTGGAAAAACTAGTCTTGTTCAGTATCTAGCTTCAGTTACTGGTCATGAATTTGTCCGCATCAACAATCATGAACACACTGATCTCCAGGAATATTTTGGTTCATACATAACCGACTCTCATGGTAGGCTTCAGTTCCAAGAAGGTGTGCTGTTGAAGGCTGTTCGGAAGGGATATTGGATTGTCTTGGATGAACTTAATCTTGCTCCATCTGATGTATTGGAAGCATTAAATAGGCTTCTAGATGATAATAGAGAATTGTTTGTGCCTGAACTACAAGAAACAATATCGGCACATCCAGACTTTATGCTGTTTGCCACGCAGAATCCTCCAACTATATATGGTGGACGAAAAATGCTCTCAAGGGCCTTCCGCAACCGTTTTCTGGAGATTCATGTTGATGAAATTCCTGATGATGAATTGACAACTATTCTAGAGAAAAGATGCTGCATTCCGGCAAGTTATGCCTCAAGAATGGTTGAGGTAATGAAAGATCTGCAGTTGCATAGGCAAAGCAGTAAAGTGTTTGCTGGAAAGCATGGTTTCATAACACCACGGGATTTGTTTCGTTGGGCTAACCGATTTAGGTTTTTTGGCAATTCATATGAGGACTTGGCTAAGGATGGGTATTTTCTTCTCGCTGAAAGATTGAGAGAAGAGAATGAGAAGAATGTTGTGAGGGAGGTGCTGGAACGTCGACTAAATGTGAAACTACTAATCAATGACTTATACAAAGCGGTATATTCTATTTCTATAACATCTTTATCAAAGATCAATATGCTACATTTAAATTTGGTTTAGTGTTTTGGTTTATCGTACTTCACTTCTGCAACCTAAACTTTTTGTTTTGTTTATCAAGTTATTTTAAAGTTTTTGTTGATGTTTTGTTCTTCATGTGATTATTATTACATTTAATCATCATTGATATCATATTTTATTTGCTAAATTAGACCCATAACTGCATGATGGATCCAATTTGAGGGCTTATAGTTGCATGATTGAAGTTTGGTTTTGTTAAAGAGGATTACATGCCGAGTTGTCCTATGTCAAGTATATTTTTTAGTGTGTGCATCCATGCAACAATATACAATTTATGTAGTTTCTGATAAATTTTCTAGTATGCATAATGCATGTACGTTTGTATGCACTTCTGGCAATTTTTACTTTTTACCCGCATGCACTCGTGAACATAAATGAAAATTTTATGTCTAGACAAGCATGTATTCTCTTCTATCACTGTGTGCATTAGTGCATGAATTTCTTCTCAAGTATATAGGTGCATTAGTATTTATTGATGCCTGTTCATAGCAATCTATGCGTTTATGTACTGTTATATGCATTTATGATTTATGTTTTTGTTCAAGTTTTTGGTTTTGTTTGCATGTGTATA